TTCTCTGAGAGGATTACACGGGCGGATAAAGAGGTGATTTGCTATGGAAGTGTAAGGCCAGGTCGAGAGCAAACTTCATTCCGAAGGTTATTGGATGCAACACCGACGTTGATACAAAGAAGGTTTCATTCAGTATAAAATTTTCAGCTACTTATTTTTTAAATGGATCTAGTTAGCGAAATGGAATTCGGGATGATGAAATTGATGCATGAATAATATATTTTAACGTAAAAATAACAATTAAAACTTTCAATTCAATATTCTTTTAATCAAATGTGGGGTCATGCGATATAATAATTGTAAGCTCCTGATGAGTATTTTATACCCTAGAGCAGGAGGGCCGATTTCACAATCTAACAAATCATTATTTTGCACCAATACGAGTACCAAACAGTTCGAAAAATATAACCAATCAGCCTCAAGATCTCTTCATCAAATTTTTGGCAGCAAATACCATCAAAGTATTCAAAACAAAACACTGTAATATATGAGGTGACAGCTTGCCATTAAAATGTTTTCATTTTATTAAATATTATGAAATTATATAAAACTGAGCCAAAATTTTAAAGACGCTTGATGTCTGAGTAAAATCCTTTTTTTTTCAGTTTAGCTGAAGGTGGGGGTTAGTGCAGATTTAACGTGTACACGACAGTGTAATATGTAATTCTGTACAAGAAAGATCTTGGAGGGAGCACTTTTTATACGGAAAATCCGTTTTTCACAGAAAACACAACAAGCTTAAAACAACAAGTGACCACAAAACATAGCCTACAGTAACATTGGACAAGGAGAATAGACCAAAGAAGAATTGACATTTGAAATTAGTGTCTCACAATGTTAGTGATGGGAGAATACATTTGCAATCAGTGAAATGCATTGGAACGGTTAAAAAATATGAACTGAATCGTTTTTAAGTTATCCCGACTGACAGACTGTAATATCTGCTCTGTTTCTGTACATATATTTTTTGTGGTATTGTTGCATAAAGTAGTTTTTTCACGAACCAGTTCCTAGAACTGAACGCAACTTAATGAAACGAACTAGAAAGCACATCACTATTTCAAGTAATCCAAGGAGGGACAAATTGTCATTTCATCACACTAGTGATGGGAAAATCGAAAGCCTGAGATTCGCTTTGCTTCTGTGGCTCAGAGATATAGTGTTTTCTTCTGATAAAACTAGCGCAGTTTTTGTGTTTAAAATACTCTACCTTGGTTAATACCGTTGATCCTAAATTTGTTTCCAAAACAAAATTAAACAACTCTCCGTACTATGATGAATCATCGAAAAAAAAATAATAGTAAACCACGAGCAAACAGCACGGCTGCATTCAAAGATGGAAATCAACGCAGAAGACAACACGAGCCCGAGTTGCTTCAAGTTCTGTATGTTTCTACAATGAGTGAAAAACTAGTTCAAAATGCGCACCAAGAAAAAATGAATATATAAATTGGTTCTGTTATAAGAATTTGGAATATGCACCAGTCCAACACTGGTTTCACTGAAAGGAAACGCGATTGAATAGCTTGGTAATATTTAACAGTTTAAACCATACAAGGCTGATTTCAGTAGCTTCTATTTTGGCCACTTTCTCAGTTATAATCTCATGTCACTTCAAGTTGCCTTACATGTCAGAGATTTTCCACTTTCCCCCGCGCCCCTGGAGCTTGTGGTTCTCGATACTTGTTTTCGAAAGATTTTTGACTCGCTTGACTGTTGGTTATGTTTATATATTTTCTGGGGATTTACAAATCTTTCAAACATTTTTCAGACCTTTGGATGCTCTAGAAATTCATCGAAAACAATAAAACACTTTCATACAACACTTAAACCTGATTTCGACACATGTGTCATGTGTGTCAGATGGAATTCTTACTAGACTGTTTCTTAGTTCCTTTTGGTAAATGAGAAAAATCACTTGTATGCCGAGTCATTCAGGTCTCTCGTCAGGGAGGAAGTAGTCGCTAATCTTCTTTTTTCCAGTTCAGCTGCGGAGATCGGCTTGACACTCTGAATTCCTGCATGCAGAGTGCTGTCATCAGCGAAGCTGTGGATTGGGTTGATCGTGCAGGAAAGTAGGTCATTGATATGCAAGAATAACAGTATCGAAGCCAAGGCCAATCCCTTGGAAACACCGGCATTGACCTCGCGGGATGAAGAGAAGACCCCGTCAATTACGACGGATACCTTGCGGCCAGAGAGAAAGTCAGCCACTCATTTGCAAAGCTTTTCTGGGAGGCCATAAAATGGAAGTGCCACAGCTGATTGAACGCTTTCCTGATATCAAGACCAACGACATAAGCCTCACCATAATGCTGGTTCAGTTTACTCTACAATCGCTTGACGTAAGCTAGGAGGTCCCCTGTGGATCGCTGGTCCTGGAAACCATACTGCCTGTCGCTAATCAAGCCGAGACTTTCGAAGTGGCCCAGAAGCTCGCGATTTATGCACCTCTCATAACATTACTTATAACAGAAAGCAGAGCTATATTCCTGTAGTTGTAAGGGTCGGTTTCAGATCCTTTTTTTGGGGTGAGTTGGACATAAGCAAATTTACAGATTTCTGGGAAGGTACCGGATTCATAAGATATCTGGAAGAGAACTGGAGCAAGCTCCGCTGCACACCTCTTCAGTGCAATGGCAGAAATCAAGTCCAGACCAGAAGCTTTGTTGGGAGGCGTAAATGGTGGAGTTGGCAGTAAAGATCTTGGCAAGCACTTCCGCCTTGTCCTTCGAGTCGGTTACAATCGTTGCATCCTGACACATAAGTGGTGGAAGACTACAGTGTGAGAAGTTCTTTTCAATCTGCTTGGTCAGCGTCCAGAAAAACTGACTGCCATTTGGCTGTGACATTAATTTGCCAAATCAGACATATCTTTCATCCTTTTCAACGAAATTGTACAAAATCTTCAAATTTGTCCAGCTAGCGAGTTTCACTTCATATGTTGTTACCAGACATGCTCAAATCATCGATTGCAGCCGTGATATTTATCCCGGACATTGGATCTCCACGGCTAGGCGACCTGTATGTTAAATTTGTGTTGATAGGGCAGCGGATTATGCTATAAATCATATTTCACAGTTTTTGTGCACTGATTGCAACGGTTAGATGATACCAAAAATATTTTCATAAATAGGAGATCGAACAATCTTCCAAAGATGGTTATAATCATGATACCTAGTAAATTTTCATAAAAAATCCGCTGTACGTAGGTATGTCAGAGCTTTCTTATATTTGTTCATCAATTTGATGATACAACACATCTGCCAAAGATGATCATACTCAGGATAGTAAACTATATCGAAGGTCCACTATATGTAAGAATTTTCAGATACTTCATTTGCAATTTGAAGATACAACATACCACGATGGTGTTCACACTTTTCAAATATTCTTCAAGAAGTGATATCAGTCTAGCTCGAACTGTCTTAAGTACCATGATTGTGTTCCTACTTAAAGCCAGCAAATGTAAAAGGTTCACCACGGGACGTTATCGTCGATAGACTTGGCAACCCTGCGAGTGACAGATAGATATCCCCGCCAGTCAAAAAGGCAATCAAACAATAAACATTTGGGCTAGACGACATTATTTGTGAGAAATTTGTTGTCGTTGTGTCACAATTACCAGAAGAAGTTCAGGAAGAATTTCTAGAAGGGAAGGCTGATCCGTCCAGGAAAGATGACCTCCATCTTTTAGCATTGGAGAAATTTTGGATCAAAAGATTGCCTGTTAATTCGACACTTGCCTCTCTTGCTTTACGAATACTAGTTCCTTTTTCTTCAACTTACTTATGTGAGGCAGGCTTTTCTGCTCTAGTTTCAATTAAAACTAAACAGCGAAATCGTCTTGATGTCGATAGCGACCTGATGATAGCTCTAGCAAAAACAGAACCTAGAAACAACCAACTGGTACAGAACATGCAATCGCAAGGGTCTCATTAGTATCTACTCTTATTTTATTCAAGTTTTTCGATAAAAAAACATTTATGAGTTTATTTAAACTTTTAAAGTTTCTTTATTAGAATTAAAATAAAAGTCTTTGTACCTATATAATGTGCGTGTTTTGTATTTATTGAAAAAGTAAAGGGGGCCATGAAAATATAATTTATAGTCCGGGGAGCCTCAACCAAAAAAGGTTGGGAAAGCCTGACCTAGCGTATAAAAGTACTATCATTCAAAATGATGGATTGGTAGGCCCTGTTGTGAACAAATAATCATATTAATATTTTTTCTTGGTTGGGTATAGCTGCATGTGAAATAATAAATCGGACATTCTGTTTAAAAAAATGGCAGATCTTGACAAGCTTTTTTAATGGAATGTTCCATACTTTATTACTAATGCAGATAGACCATTCCAAAAGACGAAGACTGATATGACATACTATAACATTTTGATGAAAAAATGTTGAGATATAAGCGAATCAATATACAAAAATGCTTAACTTGTCAGCTTGCCAGGACGTCATTTTTACGGATGGTGATTATACATTTTAGGGTCATCAAGCACCAATGCAGAACCTCAGTGAGGTAACACACGACCCCTCATCCCACAAAAAAACGGATCCAAGATGTCGCCCGGACACCATCTTCAACTGTCACTTAAACGCAAGAACGTATTATTTAAAACAAGTAGTGTGGAGACCTTTTTAAAAAGCACTGTATGTATTTGGTTCGAGAAAAGGGGAAACAAGGTATGTTACTCAAATATACAGGGTGGAAAGGACATACAATACGACACACGTACTAAAAACACCGTATCATCAAACCGATTACGTTTATATGAGCATTGTTTCCATACCGTAACATCCTTAATCTGACCTTTAATTGCTCGTAAAGCATTTTGTAACTCCCTGTATAATTAAAGCACTTTAATCCATTACATACACATCCATCTTTCAAATACTCTTTTCCATCCTCCCCGGCATCCCCAACCTCCTTCATAACGTCCGTCTCCTGGACAGCATCCTCCTCCACTAGGGTTGTTAAGAAGGACAGTAAGCTCTTTTTTACTACCTAACATTTATTAATTTTTTCATTCTTAGCTCACAATGCTATTTACATCTAGCACAGTTATTTCCCGTGTCCCCATCCTCCGCCGCCTCCCCAACCGCCTCCGCCTCCTCCTCCCCAACCGCCACCGCCTCCCCATCCTCCTCCGCCTCCCCAACCTCCTCCTCTTCCATGGTGTCCTCCTCCCGGACAGCATCCACCTCCTCTGTGGCCTGGGTATCCCCACGCTTTCACCAAGGTCACTCTATGTCCTCCTCCATAGTGTCCCCATGGTGATGGTGCTGCAAGCGTCGATGTGAGGACGGTTATTAGGAGGATCGTAGCGGTTTGCTGGAAAAATAGCGTAGTTATAATAGTTATGTAGTTAGTACCGGGTACTCGGTGGAGTGATTTGCTATGAGTTATTTCATCTATTGTTAGTGATACTAAGATTCTGTTTACGTTTTTGAAAGGTCTCCTTATTCTAAATATTGATTTTTTTACACTGTTGTGCAGATTAGACAACCCTTCATGTGTGAACCATTGCTGGGTAGTGTACTGTAAGTATTACCTACAGTTTTGTTGTTTTTTCAAATACATAAATTATTGTCTTGCAACAGTCAGACATGCTTTTCACTGTGGAATTCGGCAGTAGCAGCGTTTGAGGTAAATTTGATACCAAATTTTGACATTACTTTTTTGTGTTACAATTGCTTTTGATATACTTTTCAATCACTCTTGTTACAAAAGAAGCACATTTATAAGATACTTAGCAGATCAATATCTTAAATGAACATTTATGTTGAAGATAAGCAACGCAGGCTCCAAGCTGCTGAATTTTTGTCAAATTGACTAATAAAGTCGCTGCTGTGTCAGAGTCATCAGGAATACTGAAATGAAGTCTTAAACGCTTCTCCTTAATTCCTCCCTTCGTCAAGTATATTCCTGTTACTTTTCAACTTAGCGGCAGCATCAATTTCATATTGTTATTTGTGTTCTTTCAATTTGAACTCCTATAGTAGTTGCTCTATAGACTACCATATTTTTTTATAAAAAAAATACCTTGTATATAAAATGTTGTAATCACACAAATTTACTGTAAAGGATGGTCGATATTCACTAAAGATCATCTAAATGAGGCAACTGATTCCGGCAAAAAATGTTGCAAACTTAGCCATTTTTGGCCGGAACGTTAATTTCTTGGAGAACGTATCGGGAAGGGCAATGTATATGAACTCAGACATTACAATTTTTGGCTGAATTATTCAAAACTAGACAAAACCACGTACTCGGTAGAATAGGCTGAGTAAGCCGAGTACCAGGAACAAACCGAGTGCTTGGTGCATCCCTAGTAATAATAACAAATCATCCTTGTCTACATCATTGATAAACGTATTCTGCCTGAAGATAGCCGGAGTACAAGAAGGTATCTGATACTAGCGCCATCTATGATACAATGACAGAACACAAAACATAAATAAGAAATCTTATTTTAAAACGTGTTAGCGTGTTTGGTTCTGCTACTCTCTCAAGGATGGCGCTAGAACATTCAATTCGTTCTCGGCATCTCGGCACTTCTTCAATGCCTATTTTAATTGGCTATTTTGAGGTTTGTGTATTTATATGCTCCCAATACCAGTAATTCTTTGCACTTACTAGAAATATTTCACACATTTGCCCTTAAAACTTACAATTATAAAGAATGTGTATAAATAGTTCATTCCGGTTTTTCTCGCTGAGAGCGCTATTAGCGTACACCTATGGGGGAATGACTGTACTACATGTTCAACGACCATGCTGCAAGTCATCTTGCCAGCTTGCTTTGTTGGCTGCAGTAAGCTGAGATAGTTTGTAGAGTATAGTATATCTCTGAGAAGATTTGACAGAAAGAAAATGTGTTAAGTCGCAGAGTAGCAAGATCGCATCTAGATGATTGTGTGCCTTGGTCTGCGTGAGCATAAAATCATGATATTTGTTTTGGGAGCAGTGATGGGCGTTTACGTGTATACATTAATTGTCTACGTATCGATGTATACAATACGTATACTATGAATACAATGGATACAATGCTGAAGACAATGTATAGAATAGCATAAGTGAGGTTAGGGTTATTAGCAAACGTCAGAAAGTTGGTAAACAGTGATCTGACAACTTAAAATAAATATGGTTGGAGGCTCCAAGAACAAACAAATCGATGATCTAGGGTTCATTTGTTGTTCTTAATTTATTTAAAACTGTATCTTTGTATACGTAAATAAATAAATATTATATATTTTTTCATTACCTATTTATAAACTGCTACCACAGTCAAACCAATAATGCAATGTTGCAGAATTTGTATCTATCCGGAACTTTCTGTTCCACCTAAAATCGGAGAAACATTAGGATAGATCTGGAATTGATCCCGAACAGATTCGACAGAAATGTGTATCTGAGCGTAAAAAACAAGGCGTTACAGCAAGTTACAGTTGTGTTCTGTGGCCTTCATCACTGTTGTGCCAGGCAACGTGGTGTGTGGCGCACTCTTTCTACACAAGTGGTGCCCGCTTCTCCCCCTCTCTCTCTTCCTCGTACACATGGAAATATAAATGGGAAAGGAACTTTCGCCAGCACTATTGCAAGTAGTTGAACTATGATTTGCTACATACATTATACACATTTTATATACTAAGTGACATATAAATCCGAGTACCCAGTTTAAATGGTTTTATTTTAATAAAATTTTGTATAAGTACTTAATGAAGCATAATAAGTAAATGATAAAAAGTTCAAAATGATTGCACTGCTTTAAAGCCCTTTGACCTGTTATAATGTGTGGATGCACCCTGATGTGCTACGCATTCTCCAACGCGCCTAGACATGCTTCTGATCAGGTGGTCAATGTCCTCCTGTGGTATCTCATTCCAGGCAACCACCAACTCCTCTCGAAGTGCTTCTAGAGTCTGAGGAGGACGTTGCCAATTGAGCAATCTCCTACCCATCATATCCCACACGTGCTCAATTGGGGATAAGTGGGAGACCTTGGTGGCTATGGTAACAATGTAACATCATTATGTTGAAAGAAGTCTATTATGACTCTTGCAACATGTGGTCGGGCATTATCTTGTTGGAAAGTTGGATCTGCCAGGGTGTCAAGATAGGGTAAAAGATGGGTTTCTAGAACTTCGTGGATATAACGCTGCGCGTTCATGTTACCTCTGATGAAGATTAAAGGTAACCTGGAACCATAAGCTATAGCACCCCAAACCATAACTCCAACAGTGTGATGAACATGTCTTTCAACAAAAAACTGTGGATTCCTCCTTTCACCACCTCGCCTTCTAACCCTGGCACGACCATCGTGCATGCCTAAACAAAATCGAGACTCGTCACTAAAGACAATACTATTCCATTCCTGATCCCAGAGTGACCGTTGTCTGCACCACTCAAGGCGATTACGTCGGTGTTCTCGAGTTAAAGGGAGGACCCAGTGTGGCCGGTATGAAAACAAGCCAAAACTTCTCATTCGTCGGTAAACACTTCGCATGCCAATAGGTCTTCCGTGTTCTGCAAACCATTCGTTTGCAATGGACCTGGTAGTGGAGAAACGGTCCCTTAAGGCCAATTATCTTAGGCGGCGATCTTTACGGTCTGTTGTTCTACGGCGGCGTCCAGTGCCCCTTGCTCTTTGCGTACGGCCTTCTCGAAGCCATGCCTGACAACACCTAACCTCAGTGTCTACACTTCTTTGCACTCTAACTGCAATTGCCCGAAAAGAAAGTCCAGCTTCCCGAAGTCCCACTATACGGCCCCTATCAAACTCACTAAGTTGACGAAATCGTACAGGTCTCCGTACTCTAGGCATCGTAACCGATCGTAAAGGATGTCAACAACCAAAATCCGCCAACGTTGATTCTTTACTGCGGCTGAAATATTCATTTTTTGAGCGTTAATGAATTAAAAAAAAGCAGTATAAAAACCGGAATGTCCAACTGATAAGGCTGATCATTTTTTCACTTGTTATTTACAGTAAGATAAATACATTCACCAACTTTTATTAAAATAAAACCATTTAAACTGGGTGTTCGGATTTATATGTCACTTAGTATACATTGTATATCTAGACGTATATGTATATTCACCATTGTATACGCGTATACAATACATGGTGTATACAATGCGCCCATCACTGTCTGTGAGAAAATGATTACTGAATATGATGCCTAAGGAGTATATCTTTTAGCTGTGCGTTTGGCAGGTTACTCATGTGTTGTCCTTTTTGAAGAGAGGTTTCGTTCAAAGTCATAGGTTATGGTTTTTCCCGTTTTTTCTGATTTCAAGCATTACGGAAAATCATCACCTCGCCTGCGTTAAGCCACATCACAGAGAAATATAATGACGCATCAGTCACAAAATATTTTCGCAGTACCGCACATCTGGGTGCTGATTTGTATTTTTTAACGACAAAATAAATTTATATAAAATTTAAGTGGCTGAAAATAAAAATTATTATTATATTTTCTCACCTGTTGTAATATTCCTACTGTACCAACCAGGAATGTATTTTTTTTAATCTCTCACATCTTTGAATTTAGCAAATTTGGAGGGAAGCATTTCTAGCAAAAGAAAGCATTTTGGGAAAATTTTGACGTAGGTGATTTTTGAAATGACCGATTCATTTGAACACCCTAATGAAAATGCTACTATAATAAAGAATTTATAAGAATTGCGCATTTTCTTTTTAATTTTTCATTTTAAACGGTTTATATTTAAATCCAATTTGAATGCTTATTGCGCGTTCATCAAATTAACAAGGCTCAGCAGCACCTAATTTAACAGAAATATGCCACCCCCTCAACGCTGCTGTTTACTAAAAAGTGTCCCTTAAATTAAAAGCTGTTTTGCCTCAACTCCCGCACTAATTACAAACTCTGTGCCGACGTCAATGGCAGCGAGGTACAAATGTTTTCTTTTTTAGCTTTTAAAGCTGGAGTATACAAGAAGGAGAACTATATGAGTAGTTATACTTAGACCCGCATGGGTATTATGCAAAAAACCTATAAAAAGTCAAAAACTACACGTCTACACGCATTGTTGGTTGCATATATTTTGTGAAGTCTAGTAGTTTATAGTTTTCATCTCTGAGAAGAGAGGTGGTTGAATAGCAAGATCGCATCTGGATGATTGTGTGCATTGGTCTGCATGTGTATAAAATCAGTGATATTTGCTGTGTGAGAAAATCATTACTGAATATGCAGCCAATGAAGTATATCTATTAGCTGTGCCCGACGGATTATTTATATGTAGTCCTTTTCGAAGTCAGGTTATTTTCAAAGATGCAAATTATTTTTTACGTTTTTTTGTGTTTTCAA